TACGGCAACTCAGGCTGTCTACACTGCCACTTTCAGCGCTAAAACTTTTGTCGTTCAGGGGTGTGAAAAAACACCACCCTGAGCAACAAAAGTTTTAGTGCTGAACAGCGCCAGTATAGACAGCGCTTTATCGCCGATAAAGCTACCACCGCTCATTCGGGACGGGTTTTTGGTTTTTTTCCCGATTGGCCGGGAGAGCTCTCCCCTGGCAATAAAGCGTGTCTACACTGCCCACGTCACAGTGCTGCCAGTGCTGGAGTTAAAAAAAAAAAAAAAGAGCAAAAGAAAACCAAAAAACCCCTTTACAATCCTAATCCCAGAGTGCCATCAACAGATGCCACCTGCTTTAATCTGTCTAAATACTCATGCTTGTCATATGGACTAAAGACTGCACCGAAATATTGTTGAGTCAATTTCACAGTTTACCTACTTACAGAGAGAGGGTTAAATTAAAAAGAGTTTGCAGTTATGCTACTTTCCTGCCGCATTCCTACACTATATTTACAGCTACAAAATTGACTGCTTTTAGGGCCAGTTAAAATAGTTATTTTAAAAAGATAAATCAAATAGCCAGTGAAAAATTCTGCTAATAATCAGTCCTGTGGAGGCACAACTCTGTCTTTTCTATTAAATCCAGACGAGGAGCAGCGTTCGTGTAGCTAGTCCCGTTTTACATGGAAAGGTAACAACTCTGGCCTCACAGAAATTAGCTAATTGCCAGCAATTTAAAGTAACCTACTGCAAAATAAACTGAAGTTAGAAGAACTAATGTTATGGGCCTGATCCAAAGCCCAATGAAGTCATTGAAAAGGCTTCCATCCACTTCAGTGGGTTTTGGATCAGGATCACAGTGCTGATTGACTGACAGCATAGGAAAAAGGCGCAGTATTAGAAAGACAGTTTGTAGAGCAGCTAAGCAGTGTAACAGTCTGACATACAAGCTTCTAGCAAAACTGGTTCCATCTTAATGAAAGAGATTGTGCAAAAAAACAGTTAAGTTTTTTTAATTCTTCCTGGGGTTGCACACAGGCAGTAGCAACATCAGTGATTGGCATCTGTCTGCTGCGGAGTCTTTCAGAAACTGGAGAAAAATCTGAAAATGGACAGTACCTCTAAAAATATATATATCTCTCAAGGAATAAGATTCAAAAACAGCCCAAATGGTTCCAAAAAGAAACTCATGCCATGAGTCAGACTGTAGGAGAGACTTTTTCTTCAAAAGACAGACCGTGCAGATGCGATTTCTTTTAATAATGCTACTTTTGACATCATCACTGCCTTGATCTGACCTAGTTTTAAAAAAAATAAAAAGTTCCTCAGATTCATTATGCTGTGGGACAGAGAAATAATTTACATTCATTCACTGGTTGGCATAAAAGAGAGTCATATCTTTATTACGTATTTATATAGTACCATTGGTATGCATACCTAACATGGTCTGTTATAGTCAAAAAAGAATAATGATCTATTCAGTACTGGTAGTGTTAATAAAATCAGGCAAATCCAGCTTAGTTTTGTCTGAACATGAATGAGATTAAATCAAGATTAAAGGTGCATACCGTACAAAGGGCATAGTTTATTTTAAAATTCAAGATGAACACGTTTTAGTGCCCAGCGTGTGAATGCCAATAGATTTTTCAAAATTCAAACAACCTGAGTCAGCCCAAGATGTGCAGGGAAATGCAGGAATCTGACCATCCAAAATCCTAAGGGCCCAATGCTGTCCTGAACCCTCTCTGTACAATGGGCAAAATTCCCTGCTGACATCAATGGGCACAGCTCAATTTACTTTCACCTACTTACACCAGGAACTAATTTGGCCCAATAGGGTTGCCTGAGCGTAAGTGAGGGCAGGTCTGTGCCCCAAATTTCCATTTTTCATTCAATGCACCAACACACCCAGGTTCAGATTCTGCCCTGACTCCAGTAGCGTTGCACAGGGTGTAAATCAGCTCAGAATCTGGCCTTCTAGATGGAGAAAAACCACACAGGCTGAAACACTTCGACAAAATTGAGTTTCCAGACAATACATTTAAAAATAATAGCTAGAAAAGCCAATCAACTTCTCAAACAACAAAATTACCAAAAATTACAAAAACACCCCTTACCCCTGAAACTAAAAGCCCTCACACCAAACCATAGCTCACTTTCTATCTCAGCTCCATACGGTCCATTTTCAAAAGGCAGAATGGCAAACACAAAACTGGAGCTATTTGGTCCGACAATGTACTCACTGCTACTCCATTTTTATGGATTTATTTTGCTCCATTTCTGTCTGTAGCCCTCTGACCCCCAAATAACTACAGCATACATACAATTTAAATGTAGTGGCTAATTAAGATACCTAAAAGCAAGATTTATCTGTTAAAGTGTTAACAACACTAACCTTATGGGTCAAAATCTCCTGAGCATCACTTAATCAGAAGGGAGAAAAATGTTGTCTATTTGGAAGAGCAGACAACTAAATTAACCAAACTGCCTCAGAGTCAGCCCAAATATCATTATGTTTATGTTTATATTATTAGCTGAGGGGAAGGACCTAAATAAAAAAAAATGATGAATTTGAAAAGGATTTATTTCATATATATATGCTGAGTGGGGGAAGATGGATGATGATAATTGTCCATTGTATAAACTACTCAAAATTATATATGGAGGTAGCATTAAATGCAGTTTTGTCCTCCTAATCGAGCAAATTCCTTGCACAGCTTTATAACAAAACCACATTAATATGGCTAGGTTTTATTAATGTGAGGATGCTGTGCCTCATAAATATTCTAAATCCTAAACAGCAACAGATGAAAGATCAGGGCTAGAATGGAAAAGCCATTAAAAATAGCAACAATTCTTTTTAAATGAAGGAACTATTCTATCATTTCAATGGACTTACTTATCTTTAATTAGGAGAGGTTTTTGACAGGCAGAACCTGACACTGCTCTCCCAGCAAAAACTTTACATCATTTGGGGGGGAAGTCTAGGAGGTTTGTATTCTGCTCACCAAAGCCAAGACACCAAGACTGCTTGACAGCGCCCAGAATGGAGAACGACATGGTCTTTTGTTATTTTTACCTTTTGTATAGTACTTGTGATGTTTAAATACCAGGCAGAGTCTTCCTGGAGAAAACACTCAGCCCAATGTGTGGCAACAGCATATGTTAAACTGGCTAATGAGTCAAGTGTGATCATGATCATACATAGGTGTCTACACATCAACGCATTCATGTTAAATAGTTTAGGATGTGACACATATTTAGAAATGTCTGCAGACCAAAAGAAACTGGAGCAGAAAGACTAAGAAAAGGGCTGTATTCTATTCCCTGATGGTTTTTTACTTCACTCTGACCCTTCAGCAATATCTCTACAAGTTGTTTAGCCCCTGCAGTTACCCCTTAGGTATTCACAGACCTTTGTGAACAGACCCAAGCTTTTTTGTATTTGGTTTCAGTCTGTCTAACAATATAGCTTATTAGCCAGGCCCGCTTCCCCTTCAGACAGGCAGGAAAACTTTGACTTATTTAACCACCCTGCAGGCTAGACACGGTCTTAATCTACTTCTCAGACCTAGCGATTACTATTTATAGTCACAAATTCTAGATCGCTGGATGTACATGTGTATCTCCCCCCCCTCCAAGCACACACACACACACACACACACACACCAGACAAATTGATGAGACTTCTTAATGCTACTACTACACCATTGTTATCGTCTTGGGTAGGGGGAGAGAAAAGAAAGGAGAAAAATACAGACGTCTTTCTGCAATTTAACTGATTCATCTTCCTAAAATCAAGATATAAAATAACAGCTGACTGTACACTTCAAAGCTGGAATTAGTTCAGAAGGTTAGTGGGACCCGCATAATCTCCCTATCACAGCCACATCATCTGAACTGCACCCTTTAGGAACAGGCAACGGAATAACCAAGAATGGAGCTAATGCACTCCCCCAAAATCCTGCTCTTTGCAAAATCTAAATGGGGAGTGGGAGGGGGGAGAATATAATAGCTCAATAGACGGGGGAAAGCAGAGGAAAAGAGGGAATCACAGTGAGGGATACCTGGAATGTCAGGTTCAGGGGAATTAGAGGGGAGAAGCGTTGTAATAAAACAAGAGGGATGATGTGTGTCTGGGGGAGGAAAGGACGCCTGGAGCTGCTGGATCCGCCAGCCTAACGCTGGGACTCTGCATGTGCTTTAAATAGCCCTCGCAGTCTGTTTCCCCGTCTGCCTTGGGGGCGCAGGCAGAGACAAAGCTAAGAGAAGCAGCCAGCTGAAACTGACTAGAACTCACCCTTCCCCAGACACAGACCTCCCTCTCCCCCTGCCATCCCAGGAACACTAACCTGGCAGCAAACCCTCCCTGCAACGCAACCTTATTACTACACAGCAGAATGCACAGAAGTCTGTCCGATCTCCCATCCGCCCTTAATACAGCGACTCCGCGTACAACCGAAAGTCCCCCCCCCCCCCATAAAGTGCCCTGGGGAGAGGGGAGAGTTCGTTCCTTACATACACTGAGCGATTTCAAAAATTTAACCCCATACATTGATTCCCACCTATACAGCCGCCACTTTTGAGGGTGGAGGAGAAGGAAGTAAGAGAATTGGGGGGAGGGAGGCAGGAGAGGGCTGAAATCGGATTAAAACACACACAAGTGACACACACACACACACACACAGCCAAGAGGTCATCACCGCGACTCGCTCCTCTGCGGTGCGTTACGAGAAAAGGTGTACGGGGGGGGGCGATTAAACAATATTTGTTTTGAACAACAAATTAAAAACCAACTTTCCCTGCTCCGGGAGGCAGGGGGGGGAAAGCCAGCCTGACTCCGGAGTTCAGAGCCTGACCGGGGAGCAGCAAAGACTCGGAACAGTTTGTATTTCTAACCCTAAACAGCGATCCCTCCGGGGGGGAGGGTGGACACGGACCCCCAACCACCGACACAGCGAGGAAACCGGAGCGGGCGGGGAGCGGCGCGGGAAGGCGCAAGTACTTACTGATCTCCATCGTCTGGAACAAAGACCTTTTGCAGTTGCATGTGCAGGAGACATTGGGCTGTGTGGCTGCGGCTGTGCTGTTCACACCCATCAAGTGATACATTTAAAAAAAGCGGAGAGCGAAGAACGGAAAGTCAGCCGAGCGCTCCGGGCAGCCCCGCATAAAGCCGGGCTCCTCCTGGGGCGGGGGGGAGAGGGAACTGCGAGCCGCTCCTGAGGCAGCCCCCCGACGGAAAGAGAAGGAGACCCGAGCCGGGCGCTGCTGGCTTGGCTTCCCTCCCCTCCCCCCGCCAGCCCGGGAAGTTTGCTCAGGGCTGGGGGGAAACAGACTTGCGACTTTGTTTCTCTCTCGCTCCTGCCCAGGCAGGCTCCTAGCGGCTCCCCCCTCCCCGCCCCCTTCGCTCCGCCTCATTCAAGTCCAAGGAGATTCAGTTTCCTCTGGAAAGGGGCGTCTGAGGCAGACAGACCGGGTGACGTCAGCGCTAGACTGGGACTGCCCTTTCCATCGCCCCGCCAGGCGGGAGAAGGGGGCGGGTGAGTGACGGCTCTATTAGCCAATCCCCGCGGGAGGCGGAGCGCCCGAGCCCCTCCAGGCGCAGCTGCCGTGACCCGGACCCGCAGTGTGGGGTGAGCGCGGGGCGAGCTCGGTCGGGCTCGCAGCTCGCCGGGGAGTCGCGTTGTTCCCTGGTGAGACGCTGCCGTGCCCGGCCGGAGCCGCTGACCGGGCCCGATGCAAAGCCCCCAGGCTCCCGCTGGCCCCGGCGGGCTTAGGATCGGGCCCCTGGCGAGCCCCGGCCGGGCAGCGGGCTCGGCTCTCCGGTGGCTGGCCGCGGCAGCCCCGAGCGGTGGCGGTGCAGGTGGTTCCCGGCGACGTGGGTAATCAGGAACCGTCCCTGGGGAGCGGCGGTGAGCCCCTTGCCCTCCCATGCACCCGAATCGAAGGGGGGAGCTAGCCACCTGCACACGGGGACAGCAGACCCCCGAGGAGGCCAGCGAGGGGTGGTGACACATCGCCCCCCCTTCCCCTGGGGTCCAGCGCCGATCCCCCCCCCCCAAAAAAAGCGAGACTGCAGCCCCGAACTGCCGCAGCGCGTCGGTGACGGTCAGGAATCGAACCCTGGGGCCAAATTCTGACCTACACGCTGCCAGTGGAAATCCGGAGTAACTCCACGGTGGCTACTCCAGCTCCACAGTGGTGTAATGGAAATTAGGCGTGCTGGCTCCCAGCACCAGGTCCGTTCCCTAGAAGATCATCCTTACCCTCCTTATACTGGGGTAGAGGGCAGCACCATTTATAATGAAGGGGATTATTATAAGAATCAGGCTGTTGCGAAGCACTGCAGTGTGCAGAATGTACTTCCCCATTGTTATACATCTCCTTTGATTACTGTGAAACTATTCTGAAAGGAAAAAAAATCACTAAAACAGTTCCCACTGCATATGTTTTAACAATACAAATAATACATTAATTACATTTTTATTGTTAATTTTTTTGAATCATTTACATAAATTTCATGAGCAAATGCAGGAACGTTGCACTTCAAGCTGTTACTAGAAGGTTTTTCCTTCCTTTGTAAGGAAGTCCGCATGGTGCAGGTTTGCTGTGCAAGTCAGTGGCCTGCTTTGCAGAGCCCCACAGCTCCCCTTGACTTCAGCAGAAGTTACACTTCTCAGCACTTCTGCAAATGAGGCCCCAGAAATATTGTATTCTTGGTTAATGCTGTTGTGACCCACTGTTATGTACAGATGTGGTTAGGAAATCTGCAATGTACATTAAAATGCACATTCCAGAGAACACCCTTAAGGTAATTCTGATTTTTAACTTTCCCTGAATCAGGGGTTCAGAACCTTTTTCTTTCTGAGCTCTCCCCACCCCCGACATGCTATAAAAACTCCATGGTCCATCTGTGCCACAACAACTACTTTTCTGCATATAAAAGCCAGGGCTGGCATTAGGGGGTAGCAAGCAGGGCAACTGTGGGGGGCTGTATGTCACAGGGGGTCCCGCGACACTAAATTGCTCAGGCTTCTTCAGCCCCAGGGGGCAGGGCTCAGGGCCCTGGGCTTCAGCCCCATGCAGTGGGACTTTGGCTTTCTACCTTGGGCTCCAGCAAGTCTAACACTGGCCCTGTTTGGCGGCCCACCTGAAACCTGCTTGTGTTCCCCCAGCGGGCCCCAGACCCCTGGTTGAGAACCACTGCCCTGAATAATTTCTAACCACTTGAAGCATGCGAAATCAGTGCCCTCTTGTGAAAATTTTGGCCTTGGACTATACAGGATATACAGGGCTTTATCTCGGTTCTGTAATATGGCTAGGTCCCTTCAGCAGAGAGAGAAACAAAATAGGGCATTATAGTATAGCAGCATCCCTGGGGCTTTTCAGATTTGGTTGTATAGACAGCTCCTAAGTGAAAAGTTGGGGGAGCTTTCCAGGGAAGGGAATGTGGAGGTGTGGAAAATAAAAGCATTGAGGAAAACACAGAATACCTGATTCTGCTGTCATTGAAGTCAGTGGGAGTTTTGCCATTGATTCAGGCTCTGAAGTTATAAATCTTGAGCCTGTGGTCTTTCTGCAGGAAAATTTCAGTGCAAACTTCATGTGTATGTGCAGTAGTTACAAGATTGGGCTTAATGTAAGGTGACTTTGAGGCTTGCCAAAGCATGCTGGTGCCACTGGTAATCCTTCTGAACAGGAGTTTCAGTGACTTCAGAAATTCCATGTCACTATTTTTTTATTTTTATTTTTTGTAAAGGCACCAAAAGCAATTAGACATTGTATGGCTTGATTACTTGGATCACTTGTCAGCTGAACCAGCATTTGCCTTATAGGCGCAAACCTCAACAAATAGTCCAAAGAGATACAGTTCTATTGTCATTTAATTTAAAAATGTCCAGCTCAGTTTAATTTTTAGACAGATATAAGGGGGGGGGGGAGGAATCATCCCCACAATGAGTGTGTGCCAAGTTTTAATCAGGAGTGATTTTTTTCAGTTGAGAAATAGACCTGTGAAAATTGGGGTTTATAATGAAAATGCTGATACACACTTTACTATAGTGGTGCGAACAAGGTCCCATAATACTTGGTAAATCCTGTTACTGAGAGATAAAGTCAGCTTCAATTATCTTCCAAGAAGGCATATTTTCCCATAATTCTTGATAGCTATGATTTAGTACTTGGAAGTAGTTAAAGGGTCTTCACTTGGGCCTATGGTCCCTAAAGCTGCTATTATGAATATTGTGCTAAATAAAAAGCATACAAACTATGAATACCAAATTAAAAACCAAAATCTCTTGCAAAGCCGTAGAAATCATGGAGGATGAAAGGAGATTGTCTTGGAGTCAGGCATGATTTACTTTTTGGCAAGTTTGAACTTTTATTTTCACCCACAGAAAATGGGATTTTTTTTCACATGATTATTTACAATGTGATTTCAAATAATCCTTTATATTCAGAGATGGCTACAGTTCCACCTGCCCCTGAGGAAAATGCCTGATGGAAAGGGACATGTTATTGAAAGATTGATTAGGCCATCTGACAGTAGGTATCTCCAACAATAACTAGTCCAATATGAACAGGGGGAAGAAGTCTTGCATCACAGATAGCAAATGAGCCTTAAGAAGCTAGATTGTGGTTCCTAACAGTGTAGTGCTAAAAGGATATGAATTTTTGTAGAACTACAGATGGCAAAGAAAACCTATTAGGTCACTCTGCCAATTCAACAGACTTTTCTTTCCATAGTAAAAGGCATATTTGAGTGCATGGAATACAACTTTGAGTTAAGGAACTAGAAGGAGGAGGTAGCGTCTGTGGTTAAGGCACAGAACTGGGAGTCAGTAGGGCAGCGTTATTTTTTTGGCTGTGGTGCAGATTTCCTGTATGCTTTTCAAACCTGGGTGGCTCCCTAAATTAGGGATGTTTGTAGGTACCTAAAATTATGCTCTGCTTTTTCAGAGGTATTGAGCACCCTGACGTCAATGGGAGCTGGGAGAGTTCAGCAACTCTGAAAATCACAACAGTTTTTAGGTGTCTAAATATGGATTGAAGTGTTTAAATGTGAATACCCCAATTTGAAAGTTTTAGCCTAAATCACTTGCTCAGGGTTACATGAGAAGTCTGTGGTAGCACTGGAAAAAAAACAGTAATCCTATGGTTCCCAACTCTGTGCTTTAGCCAAACCACCACCATTGAGGTATGCCTCAGTTTCCCTGTTTGTAATCCTTATCTCCCTTGTGGGCTCAATTCATTAATGGCTGCAAAGCGTGCCAAGATCCCTTTTGTTAAGTGCTATGAAAACACAAAAAATTGGTTTTGTTACTGACATGGAAATGCAAATAGAGAATTTAAATGTTGGTTTTCATATAACTTGAAGCTCAACTAAACTAACTTGGGCCTCGATTCAGTAGTCCAAGCCTATTCAGCAAAGTAATAAGCATGTGCTTAAAGTTAAGCACATGCTTAAATGCTTTGCTGAATTGAAACCTTAAAGAGGAATGCTCTATTTTGCCTCCGCAGCCTTAAATGACTTGACATATTTCATTGGGGCTTGGAGAACTGGGTCTTTTCTTCCAAAAAAGCTTTTGATGCAAACTGAATAGCAAAGACCCTATTTCAATGGACCCTGCTTGCTTGCCCAAAAAGCTCTGTAAGCATGTGAGCTAAGCCTAGGTTATACTACTGTACTTGCAACTAACATATGCCTTCACACTTACAGTATGTAGCATAGTCATAAATAAGTCAATGTTAACAATACAACCCTACTCACATTTCATGGGAAACCATTGATGTACTTGGACTAATCTTGCAATTAACCATTCAACCCTCTGTGTTCTGTCTTCTAATATGCGTCCATGTTCCTGAACAAGAATAAGTGACATTCTGCATCATGTTTGATAAATAATTACTGCATTTCAGGATATAGACTTTCTCATTTAGGCCTCTGCACAGCCAAAATTCCTCTCGAGGCTAGGATCAATTAGTTATCAAGTGGCGTCAATGGAGTCTGGGCCGGATCCTGCTCCCCCCAGACTTAGCTAAATGAGAGTTTTGCAATTGACTTAATTGGAAGCAGGAGCAGGCTGTAGGTGAGTAAGAAAGAGCAGGCACAGGAGATGAAAGGACATCTTTCTTTGTGTCTGGGAAAAGGTGGGGGTAAGAGTTTATACTGTTCCTGTGAATCATCTTTCTTGTTTTAAGGGGAGATTTTACAAGTTTTGTACAGCTTTGGCAGATATAAGCTCCAGTTTCAGATGCAGGCTTCTGCAAGTTCACACATTTTCTTAACCTTTCATCCAAGATAAATAATTAAATAAATAGATAGATCACTGTTTGCAAGTTGACGCTGGTTTAAAAATGCAACATTTACTCCCGAATTTAATTGTAAGAGCTACGTGTGGCCTTAAGAACAACCAACATTTTTCCAACGTGATGTAAGAATGAATAATTAAAGTAATTCTAGATTGGAGCTTGTAAAAATTAAAGGAC